GGAATAATTTAATTCACTCATAGCACACAACATTTACTTTAGATTTTAGTGCTGTCTATCTGCATAGTGACACTGGCATAAAAATAATCTTCCAGTTGCTCCACAACCTCTGGGCATACTTGAGCAAAGGTGCACCTCATCTTACTTGCAAAGGGGATTGTGTTGCTAAGGAGACAAGGATATGAAAGTGGCGTGTTGATTGATGTTGATTTTGTGTGATTTATCCCATTATGTTACAATATATTGTGTGGGATGAATAACAAGTGTCTCCAAATTTTGGGTCCAGAAAGAGCTGTGCAGCGAATGAATTGCGCAACAAACAAGTCTGAAAGCCAACAACACGGAGGTAGCAGGAATTCAGTCCTATGAAACTGCCGCTGCTGCCTCATGCTCCAGAATGACAACTGGTTTTTATGTTGAAACTTTGGAAAGACGAAATCATTTAAAGTAGATTCAGTGAAAATGACCTAAGCAAACAAATAAATACAGTGGATGTAATTATGTGGCATGTGCTGGTCTGTGGGCCAAGGTTGTTCATTGTAAAAAAAAGGCCTTTTAGAACTGTGAAAATCTTTTCTTTCAAATTTAAAACCATATTTTTATGCAGTAGGAAAACAATGATCAGCAACCGGCAATAAGAAAAGTCTGTATTCAGCAGTACAGCAGGGACATCTGCTGTTCACGATGGGCTAATGCAACACAGAAGAAAGAAAATGAGGGAATTATGAGGAGAATCCATCATAATTAGTACCCATATGTGCTTCATTTTGTAACTTATTCCTCTCTAAACTACTTTGCACAATGGCAGCTTTGTTGAATACTCCCAGCTGACTTCAGGCTTCAGCATCAGACTGAATAAATCTCTCTAAATTCCTCATTTGAGTTTTGTTTTTAATTAAGCACTCCTGAAAAATAAACAGGACTTTATATTTGATTTGATTTATTTATTCTTTCAAGCATGTAAAGACAGTTGATATGTCAACACACATAATTTTACACATATCCAACAAATGCTAATCCAATATCAATTTGCTTATACCTAGTACATGCTTGAATGGAGTAGGAAGAAGTCAGACTTATCCAGTCCTACCCCATGACATCATCTTACCATCATTGGTTTGCAAGCAGTATCTCTACATAGATAATTATCTTCTACACCACACAAGTAATATACTAAAAAAATATAACAGTGTTAACATTCTTACATAATTACATACTTAGATAATTGTCTTCTATACCACACAAGTAATATACTAAAAAATTATAACAGAGTGTTAATAATCATACACCACACCCACAATGTTCCATCTAGTTAATCATTAAACCTGTTCTTGCATATATCTTGATTGACACATACCTTTATATTTACGTTTAAACTCGTCAATTCTATTACTATTTTTTATGTCCACACTTAAATTATTCCATAGTTTTACCCCACTTATAGAAATACAAAATCTTTTTTTGGTTGTACGTATAACATGAATTTTTAAATTTAACTGACCCCTTAAATTGTATCCCCCTTCCCTTTCATTAAATAGTTTTTGAATTCCACCAGGTAATAAATTGTTCCTGGCTTTATACAAAAACACAGCAGTCTTATATCCCACTAAATCAAAAAATTTAAACAATTTAGACTGTATGAAAGCTACATTGGTGTGATCCCTATACCCCATCTTATGCACAATTCTTATCACTCTTTTTTGTAATATATACAATGGTTGAAGTGAGCTTTTGTATGTATTTCCCCAGTTTTCAACGCCATACTCTAAGTATGGTAAAATCAATGAAGAATACAAAATACGGTGCTTTCCCGTCTAAAATATATCTAACCATTGCCAATATCGATATATTTTTGCTATTTTGTTCTGAACATATCAGATATGCGATTTCCAGGAGAATTTGTCATCAACCATGACACCTAGAAATTT